GCTACGTGAGGTCTTGGGAGCAATGACCCCTGGAGCGGAAGGTGAGACTAAGGAAGCAGCTAACGGGCCTGTACGCGCAGGCGACGGGGAGTGCTTGCCACACACGTCCCTCCCCTCTGAATGGCCCCACAGCTACCACGGGAGGGGGCCATTCATTACAAGGCCCCCAGGCTCCCGAGAACACCCAGAGTGGAGCAGTCAGGCATCGGTGGACGCCTGCCAATCGTCAGAGGCATTCGCCACCACACCCTCGTCTGAGAAACCCTGACACCCAGCTTTGGCAGCCCAATAAAAGCTTTACTAAGCCCTATTCGAAAGTGGGTGGAGGAAACAGGCCAAATGAACTCTGCCCTTCCCGCTATGACCACAAGTGAAAAAGCATCTTCTAATCTAGGAGTAATTAGTATCGCTGCCTTACTCAACTCTAAACTTTAAAACTCTTGGACGAGGTTATCAAAACTTCCTCACTCAGAAACTGGGGAACCAATCATCAAAACGTTCTTCCGCAAACACCAGACAGTTAATAAAATGATGTTGTGAGACGCACAAATCTATTTACCTGAATGAGTTTGGCAGCAAACTGATTCACTTCGTTAACTCTTTCTTCGTGGGCAGCCATATCCGTCTGAAACTCTTCAAATTTCTTCTGTAAAACTTCCACATGCTCCAGGTCCTGGCCCAGCTCCTCAGAAGTCACAATCGCTTCCTAGTCAGGGACCATAACAAAGCTGGAGTCACCAAACGACGTTTGGTAACACTGGACCCCAGAACTTAGGAGACAGGCACACAGGTGTCTGTCTCAGAGACGCTGAGTTTCAGAGTTACAGATGAGAATAGACCAGAGGGGAGCTGGGGACACAGCAGTCCTGCAGCTGCTCCCGCTAACACCGGCTCTCGAATGCAGATCGGGGGAGCCGACCTCCATCCTTTCTGGAAGGTGACCTAGCAAACCTTCCTTCTCAAAACGCACCTTGTCATTGATCCAGTCCATCACATCCTCACATTCTCGTAAGTACTGCACTAGCTTCTGGGCCTGCAGTAGTTTGATTCCTTTCTCCCGCATTTTCTCCAAAAGTAATTCCCATTGGCGGTGCAGCTCCATCAAACGAGTCTGGAGGTGAAAATTCAATCCCGTGTATTACAACCATTTCTATGAGATCTGGCTCTTCCAGAGAGTCCCGATAAGTCAGAAACCTTGCGGATCTCTGAACAAGTCTTGAAAAAAGATAATCCCTAAACTGAGAGGAAATAGGAAATTTAATTGAGAACAGAAGAAAGCATTCATTTCATGGTGGTTTGGTAGGTCTGAGAGTATGAAATAATTGACCATTCATGGGTAAATTTATTCTACTTTACTTCAAGGGAATTATTAAATATGATTAATTATCAATTGTTGATTTAATATTATTTGTAAGTATTTCCTTTTATTAGTTACTATCATTCAATTA